ATGTATGTAATGTGTATATACCAAGCTTTATCAAGCATAAACAAGGTATAATTGGGTACAGGGCAGTGTAACATGTTTTTAGCATTAGCTCTTAAATAGTAAAAAAAACAAACGAGACCGACGTAAGATCAAGTTTTATTTGTGGTTGGCATGGTAATACAAGCGAATGGTCAAACATTAAGCGACTAAATTAATATACAAAAAGTACCCAAATATATAGCTATTGTATTCACCACCAATCCTGTTGGGACAGATAACAATGATAGTAGAACCAGTTAAACTTGAAAAATACAGGTTCTAGTCAAATCAAATCAAATCAAATATAGCTTTATTCATGTAGGTCCATCACAGACACTTATGACAAGTCAAATTAATCTACAGTATGATACTTAATGTAAGTTACACTACTTATTGGATACTCTAACATGACAGCTAATACATGCAGTAACAATTTTTAAGACTACAGACTCTTACATGACAAAAAATACATTATACAAAATAAATAAAATTGTGGCAGTATGTCCAATTAATAGATAAATTAATAACAATGATAATAATATAGAACTTACTGTAGTTTCTATTACATGCAAAGATCTTTTAGAAAGATGTAGAGAGATTTCGATAGTATGCCTGTCATTCCCACTTAGGTCACATGTAAGTTAACCTTTTTCGTTAATTTGAAATATCTATTTATATTTATTGCTTCGTCTCCAGGTATATTTGTTTCCCATGGTACAGTGAGTTCTACCAGTATAACACGTTTAGTTTTTTAATATATGAATATCTGGTCTGGATGATGAAACACCAATTTCCTCTGGGATATTATAATCCTTTTTCTAAATGTGCATTAAAGTAGTCCAGTCATGTGCAACACCTAGGATTGAGACGGGCTTGTTTTTGAGTTTTGAGTTTATTTTTCTCTTGTAAAGTTAATATATCTTGGTTTTCGATATTATTGAAATGTGTGAGGATATTTAAAATTCATTCTTTGCTGCACTCGGAGTAGTGTTTTCTATGACTGGGTGATATTGTTTACATCCATCAGACACAATCATCAATATTTCTGTAAAAATAGTAGTGATATGTAAAATCAATTTAGAATTATGAGTATATAATAAAAAAAATAGTTACCATTTATATTTTTGAAATAGGTATTATCTATATTGCGTAAAACAAAATTAAAGTAATTCTTTTCCTTCAGCTTAAGGTGTGTCTACAGCCACAAAATTTAGTAAGACAATTAACCAAATTGGTAACTGATACCGGCGAATAATGGGGGACTCATTATTGCGTGCAATTATTTATTAATTTATTTTCGTTTTGTTTACCTTTATTTTTACTAGATTTTGTCTTAATAGTTTTAACATGTTATAATATATAAGTATAAAAGGTTATTATAGACAATGAATCGACTTTCAAACTGACCCCTTTCATTGTTAGGCATACCTATTGATTAGTCACCTCTTCACTATCGTTATTATCGTTTGAAGCATTTATCATCTATACTATTGAATATATACGCCCCCACAAGTAAATAATTGAAAGAAACGACTACTGAGACTGAAATACGTCAAAATAAAAAACTCAATCTTCCTCTTATACAGAGCGACATAGCATCTTAACTTAACTTTGTGAATAATTAGTATGAACATTTCTGTTGCGCATTATTTAGATATCATTACTTCATTTATTGAGAAATTATTTTATATGGCAATAGAATCAAATTGTCATCACTTAGACACTGTTGATATCGTATCAATAGATGTTTGTATTAAATCCTGTAACAGCATAATTGAACGTGGCTGGCACACGGCTCTACGAGTGACGTTACAAAATCAACATGAACTGTTATTAAGTCAACACGCAACAGAACAATTAGGTGTTCATTAAATACATGCTTAATGTATAATCGATGGCTGTCGATTCCAATGATTTATGATCACTATAGTCAAGGAAAATATTATTATTCAACCGGGTTTAACAGCATAATTATTTTAAATATGACTACGTCGTTTTTGCACTTATACTGCTTATTTTTTTTAAAAGATTTAGGTCATGTTGACGCTATGTGCCCTAACTAAGAGGCTTGTAGAAAGCTCTTAAAAAGATAATAACTGTAAATAGTCTGTCCCAGTGTTCAAATACCTATGCGATTTAAAAAAGTAATAAAATAATCTAGTTGCATATATAGTTCTAGAGAGTGATTACTTTTAAAATCATGAAGAGTTTTTAACTATATACATTTCAACTCTCCACATATTTGAAAATTTCAGATTTAAACGGCATTGAGGCAAATAAAATAAAATGTGATACAAAAAAAAGAATACTACTGTTTTCTATGGTTTTCAATAATGTCTGCATATCAAACCTATTGTAGTCTTTATGGTCTGTGGTCAAACAAGCAGATTGCTATATATTTTTTTATTTGCAGTATGTCGCTGTGGTCATGCTTAAAGAGAATATTCTTTGCATAAGAATCATAAAAATAATTATTTCAAATTGAATGGTTTCATGTGAGACAGTGACGGTGAATCTTACGCGTGCGAGAATCAGCTGGTGTTTGTTTGTTAAAATAAATTCACGTGTGGAAACGATACAATCCAATTTGGAGCTTATTTATGCGGTGTGGACGCTTGATTGATTAGATAGCAACAGTGATTTGTGCCAAAAACGGGTAATATTTCACTGAAATGTTGAATGGAAAATGGAACGACGTAGACCACCTACGCGCGGTAATTACTTGTATAAGCAAACTGGATAAAATGAGTTTCTCGACTAAGAAGTAAGTTATATTACGTCTGCTGAAATATATTTCTGAGCTGAACAGTCGATTCCTTTGTGTGTTGTTTAAATTTGTTCTGATATTTTGTATTCGAGTTGTAATAATAGAATGTTGAGTGTTCTCTGAGTTAATTAGAAATCTTTATACCACGCCAGTATAAAGTAACTTTCTTTTCTTCATTTATTATTGATCAGTTTTTCAGGCAAAGCAAACTCAAATGCCGGACTTCATAGTTGTGCGTTGGAGAGTATATATATTGCTAAATTCATCTAACCAATAAGTATTGGAATACGATGCCAAATACAGAAAGTTGAAAACAGTGGAGGTAGTATTCCATATATTGAGTAAAAGCACATAAAAGCAGGAGTCCCCGGTAATGAAAGGGGAGATTTCCTAGCAAAAAATGCAGCTTTAAAAAAGAAGACAAAACTGAAGTACGATCTATTCCCCCTATCATATGCTAAGAAAGAAGTAAAACATAGAACAAGCTCATAAAATAATAAATACAATAAAGTTCAACAACACAATTACGCATTTATTGATTGGTCATGGAGGAAATAGATCGTACCTGCATAGATTTAAGATAATAGGCTCCGATCACTGTCAGTGTGACGATGAAACACCGCAGTTTGTGATACATGTTATAACGGAATGCCGCATGTTTAACTTAAAAAGATTTCATTCTGTAAATATACTAGATATAGAAATAAAATTGGAATATTTCCCAAAACTAATGACAGATAAATATGATAGACAAATATTTTTAGAGTATGCAACAGGAGTATTAATTTTATTTATTTATTTTTTCAGGCTGCTAGGCCAATATTATAAATACCTTATGGACTAACATACATATGAAATAGTATAAAATTAAGATATTGAAATTGTCTGTGTGATCACGGCACTGGCGGCGGCAATCTGCCACGGTAGCGCCTATACAACACCTCCCTCGCCAGTAGTCCTGCTTCATGAAGGTGGGCAGCATGTTGGTAGGCCGGCCCCAAACGCCTTGAAATTCGTATTGTGGCTCGATTCTAGCCGCGTCTCCCTCAATGTCAGGTTACACTTGGTACGGATATAATCGACAATATCCTGTTCCTTAGTGGCGTAATGTAGACAGGACAGGTACATTGCCGTGGTCGGTGTAGCAGTACGCAGTAGGAAGTTGACCCTGTTTGTGCGCCTATTCTTTTGTACCACGACGAAGCCATCGACACTGTGGTTGCACCGAGTATTTCGTTGGCGCTGCTTCCACTGGCAACGATATAGGCGCTCGCGGCCTGCGGGCGCCTGCATCGTTGCCAGTGAAAGCTGCTATTATTATTACTCATGGTTTTTAAGCTTCCACTGGCAGCTTAAAATCCATAAGTAATATTAATTAATAGGTAAGTGTTATTATTTATGTATTATTAGGGTATTACGGGTACATATAATAAGTAGTATAAGGATATTAATAATCAAAAATAATAACAAAAAAAATAATAATAATAACCTCCTATATGATAAATTACCTATAATATCCTTATGATTTTATACAGATAATAGACAATTTCTATCTTATTGTTTTCTGTTGCCAAATGTTTCAAAATTCTTGATTGTTTGTCAGTAGCTTCGTTCCCTCACATACTAACTTATATTGAATTTATCTTCATGTTCTTAATTTTTATACACTCATATAAATTTTATATTTAGTTTAGAAAGTAGCCTCTTTTACGTATAATATAATTGTCGATATATTTAGACTACAGAGAAACCATTATACCTACATGCAATATTAATTAATGTTAATTAAACGTAGAAATTATAATTAGTAATTTTAATAACTTTGACTTATTTTCACTTCGCAGGTAATATTTTAGAATAGGTTTCTGAGATCCATTAATAAAATCATTACGATAAAATGTTGTTCTTGTAATATAGCAATGTCCATAATGTACTTCTATAGTGGATTATAATGGAATATAGCATCTACCAGCCATAATATATAATATAAGCTGGCTTGTTCTGTTATGACATCGTAAGTATAGTCATTTATTTTGGAGATTAAAGAATAATAAATTTTACTGTTCCATCGCAAAATATAGTTTATTACAATTACTTATAGAATACAGCAGGTGGGAAGGAATTAGATAAGTAACCTAGAAAAAACAAAAAGCACAAGTTTAAATAGTTTTTTTAAATATAGTAAGTGTCATACTATTCTTTATATTTGGTTGTTTATTTTTACTAAGAAAGTACCAATATAATGTGTAGGTAGGTTGAACCTTTGAGTGTTCTCTTCCACGGAAATCTTTAGTGAAAGGCGAAAGATTTATGCGTTTTTAAGGGAAACCTACCTAATAAAGGTGAACGTTAAAACAGCTAAAAGCCATTGTTGTTAATTTAAGATTTAAAATATTTTCAGAGTCAATGATCAATTTAAAAAATAATTAAAAGTTAAAATACGGAGATAAATTGAGTAATGCCATATGTTTGCGTTTGGGTCAATATCTGTATACAAGAGTATTATTAAAGAAAGGAGATACAAAAAAGGAAAATTCAAATAAAGATTATTTACATTACAGTGGGAACGAGATTCTCACCATTTCCTTTGATACAGTGAAACGAGGAAAACTCAAACGTGAAATTTTGACGTTGCGCTTGTTTGAACGAGTATAAAAAATGCTTAGATGGCCTGTAAAACGTAAGAAAAAAACTTTTGTTTCGAAGAATAGGAAGAGTAAGAACAATAAAAGTAAATTGAAGTTGGATAGAATTTTCGCTTCAGGAGTTTTAGTGGCCGATTTGGCGTAACGAGTTTTTACCGCCTTTACAACTTTGCAGGTTTGTACACCGAACTTCATTCACTACTGTTTTGTACTTGTCCAATTGCATGTATATGAAACTTTACACTGCATTTAATACTGCATTTTTTGTTTCAGATACACCGAAGTATACTTTATAAAAAAATATCTACGTCACTTCTGTATCATTAATTTCTTGCAATAAACAGCTTGATTTGCAGTAAACTGAGTTCAGGTTTCCATAGGTGATATGTGGCAGTAATATTACAGGGTATAGGAGTATGCCAACTTATTTTTCAAGAACGGCAACACACGAGAGATACTACGGCTGGCACATTCTGTTTATTTTTACACAATTTTCTTTGTGGTCGATGGAATAAATACAGTCGTATGTGTGATATAAATCAAACAGTGGATAGAAAATGGTACATACGTATAATGAAGAATTCTATAAGAAAAACATAAAAAATGGGAAAAAATTAAATATATAAAAATGTGCAAAGATTTTTCAACATCCTTCATGTATATAGACTACTTGTTTCTCATTCCAGTTAAATAATTACTATTACAAATGCAGTTTTATTGGCATATACACCACAACCTGCTCTCGAATGGTTAATAACCATATTATGTTGATGATACACATTTGCATATTTTATAAGTACAATTCAATTAAATTTTGTTTGTTTAACAATTCCAGAGATACGAGGATAAATATGACTTTAATTTTTTTATCGCAAACAATAAATATTTGCAGCAGTTAATTTTACCTTGTTGCATAAAATATTTTATTATTCGGATGAAATATTTCCAGATAAGCGAACGAAATTATTAAAATATTTTAGCATGCAATAAGAATCGCAAAAATATGCTAAATGTTTTGTTATATTTTCATTTAAGAGAATTACAAAGGTACTTATTGAATAACTGAAATAGACACTGATTGCAACTTTCCATTAATTCAGTTTGTGAGTATGTTTTAAATATGTCATATATTAGTTATTTATAAAACGCTTTATTAACAGCATCCACTATGAGTAGTTGTCATAATTGTCCAAACATTCATTGCGCCGAAGTTTGACGTGGCTAAAATTAAAATTGCATACTGATTTAGTACATACGATAATCAAAGTGAACATGCTGCGAAAATATATATATATATCATTATTATGCATAACAATAAATAATGACATCGTCATTGTAACTATAAAACATTTACATTTATATGAACTTTTATTTTTTATTCTTAAATTGTAGAGCAATAAATGTCTACAATTTAGATTCAGAAACTGTGCTAAGAAAACGAAATTAAGTAAGTATACGTACGTCGCCGCGTCGGTAGTACACAACGGGAAGTACCTATATACTGACTACAATAACAGACAGAATACTATTTGTATATTAATAAGTTTATGTATGTAACACACAAGTACGGTACGGGAATAGCTTACCTTTAAAATTTCGTAACAAGAAAATTACCAAAGGTAAAGTGTATCCACGAAAATAATATATTCAGAGCATACGAACAGACTTGCCCGTTGAGTACGTCAGTCGAATATCTTTACTAACGTGCTACCGTTTCCAAGCCCTTGCTAATGTTTTATTCGCTTTAATCTTAGGAAGTGACTTCTAAATATTCACTTTGGAATGATAATAAATTAACGGATAGGTAGGAAAGTAAATCCAAGCGTAATTGGACGGGCGAGGTCGAGATGTGTGCGCGGAACGACTGGAAGTATAACTAGAAGGTAACTTGCAATAATAAGTACGCTTTGAATTCGTCGTAGGTACATTAAAAATTGTTCTAATATTTCTATGAGATTTAAATTTTTTCGTTATTTTTACACAAATACAGGATTGTAATGAACTTCTATGTTTTAATTTTTTACGACTATGGTTTTGATTTAATCTCTAAGTTTCCATAGGGGTGAGTATGGTGCATTCGTTACAGCGTCTCCCCTCGTACTGAGAATCTGGATGAAATCGAAACATTTGTCGCAAACCACATAAACATACTATTTTCTAAGGTCTATTATGATTGATTTCTAAGTTTTCAAAGGACATTCTCAATTCAGAATTAATCAAGTGTATTTTGTATGTATTTCTGAAATTGTTATATGTAATGTATACTTCCCCAAAACAGTGGAGAATGCCATAAGTCTTCAATAATATAATATAATAATAATAAACTCACAGAGCGCTATATTAGTATTGTTTATGTTTTGTTTGACTAATACCAGTTTTCAATTCAAACTAGTACTAAAGCTAATATTCTGTATAGATATAGTTGAAATAGGTGTATAATTATAAGAACCTCATTAATAATATATTTTTCTTTTTTTATATATATTAATAGTATATATTATTTATTTTAATATTTGTATATTATATATTACTTATTCAATATTGAAACAACATTATGCCAATAGATGAAGACTCATTTCAGACCACAACTGACAGTAGTTCTTCATTCTTTTCCGCTAATTCTTCATTTTGCGATGACAACATTGGTTTTTTATTAAAGGAAAGATTTAAGAGCTCCAAATTTTTAAACATATGCCACATAAACGCACAAAGCATTCCTGCACATTATACCGATTTGATTGACACGTTCTCCGAACCTGACGTCCACGCGTTACTAGTTTCTGAATCATGGTTGAAACCTACACTCTCTTCTATCACATATGCATTACCAGGTTTCACCTTGATCAGAAATGATCGTACGGGGAAGGGTGGTGGAGGCGTTGCGATTTATCTACGTAGCTTTATTTCCTATAGAGTAATATCATCGTCTCCATCGGATTATCATGGTACCGCTGAGTACCTGTTCATAGAAGCAAACTTTAAGGGTATTAAAATGGTCATTGGTGTAGTCTACTGTCCACCTCTAGTGGATTATTTCTCTGATCTTGATGCTGCCTTAGATTTAATAAGCTGTTCTTATAAACATATTATCATTATGGGAGACCTGAACACCAACCTGATGAAGGACTCATTACAGACACGTAAATTGAAAACTATTTTAAACTCAATGAATCTCTTTATTCTACCTTTACAGCCTACTCACCACAACATAGATACTGAGGATTCTTGGTTGGACATTGTCTGTACATCCTCGACTGATTATGTCGTTGAGCATGACCAGTTATCAGCACCTGCTTTCTCACGTCATGACCTTCTGCTTCTATGTTACAAAATTAAGCCACTTAAGTTAAAACCGACCATTGCCTCCGTGCGTAATTTTAGTCGTATAGATATCACCTCACTACTCCGCGATGCTGCGCGTATAGACTGGAAGCCAATACTAGAAACTTCGATCATCAATAACAAAATTTCTCTATTTAATGCTCAGATATTAGGACTATTTAATAAACATGCTCCATTACGTACTCTCAAGCTGCGACGTCCACCTGCACCGTGGATAACAGAGGATGTTCGGAAGGCAATGGCGAAACGGGATCGAGCTTTCCAAGTCTTTAAAAAAGAAAGAAGCGTAGTAAATTTTCAGATCTTCAAGCGTGCTAGAAACCGCTGTAATCAGGTGGTAAGAGCAGCTAAACGCCGACATATTCATAAAAACGTACTAAATACTTCTTCGGCTAACATATGGAAATTCCTGAACTCTCTTGGTTTTGGCAAAGCGCCAGCCACCTTTAATGTAAAAGTACCACTTGATGACCTTAATATCCACTTCTCCTCTGCAAAGCCTCTTGATACCTCTATTAAAATGTCCACCATACAGGAAATAAATTCCATGCCTTTGTCGACTACCAACTCTTTCACCTTTACTCCAGAAACCGACGAGAGCATTCGCAAAACAATTATGTCTATTAGATCTAACGCTACAGGCCATGACGAAGTGAGTAGAACTATGATCACTCTCTTGTTAGACATAATTCTCCCAGTTCTTACTCACATAGTTAATTTCTCTTTGACTAATGGCTGTTTTCCTGAACTGTGGAGAAAAGCATTTGTAATTCCCCTTGCCAAGATAGCTAATCCTTCACTTCCTAGTCACTTTAGACCAATCTCAATCTTGCCATTCCTGTCAAAAGTTCTTGAGCATATTATTTTTCAACAAGTATCCATCTTCATTTCAAATTGTAACTTTATTAGCCCTCTTCAGTCTGGGTTTCGCCCAGGACACAGTACCACTACAGCGTTACTCAAAGTAACCGAAGACCTTCGTAACAGTATGGAGAAATCCCACCTCACCATCTTAGTATTAATCGATTTCTCTAATGCCTTCAACTGTGTTGACCATGACTTACTCCTAGCATTGCTCTCTCGTCTTAATTTCTCTCCGTCGGTACTGGAGTGGTTCTCTTCATATCTTCGCGGACGCCAACAAGCAATTCGTGCTGGGCAAGATCTCTCTGGCTGGAGTGATCTAAACACTGGTGTTCCGCAAGGCGGTATTCTTTCACCACTTCTATTTTCTCTCTTTATCAATCTCATTACACCTCACCTTCAATGCTCTTACCATCTTTACGCGGACGACCTACAGCTTTATGCTCAGACTGAACCAAATGAAATTTCTACTGCTATGGATAAACT